TTAGACACACAGCCCGACCTCCCACAATGTTCCCTACACCGAGTAATCTGCTGCTTCACCGTGTGGGCAATTTTTTCTCACGCTGCTCTCCATGTGTTTAACATCCAAAAGCCTTCTCTTTTTTTTTTGGTATCTTAACCCACCACGGCTAGCTTTAAAATGGAACGGAATGTCTGCCGTGTGTCTTTATAAGATCTTTTGAAATTGGTGTATTTATGGGGATGATGCAGCTTTACAAGGCAAAAAAAGGGCTTGCGTTCTCAGAAAATATAGAAATCCAACTAATTTTTAGCTTTTGAAGCCTTTTATAAACCTGCAACAGTTGCTGATGCAGGTTTATGGTGCTCTGACACGTTTTGATATGAGTTTAATAGAGCTGTCATTCCTTTCCATTCAATTTTTTTTCTTAAACTTTATCTCTCGCAGACTTTTTAATGAACCAAGTGCACACGGGTGTGCGAGTCGATCTGGGTTCGGCAGTCGAACGAGAGCATGTTCTTCTTGATCTAAAACTCTTTGTGACTCCAAAACCCAACCGATTCTTCAGAATTTTTCTGAAATATAATCCTCTCTTGTAGAACAACTCACTGGGAAGCTTGTCAATCATACGTTTCATTGTTATGTTCAAGAGCATCTGTGTTGTCCCACACCTACTTTTCTTCTAAATCCACTTAATGTTGCGCTGTCTGGATATTCTTCCAACTGGACAGTGTATATTTACATTTCAACTTTCTTCTGACTCTCGGAAAGGACGTTGGTCTTTACACTTTAACCTGACTTCGAAAGAACTTCAGATTCAACAGAAAATGTTCAGTCCACAAAGATGAAATATCCATAGAGGCTGATTTTATGACACTGATAAGTGATGACTTGTTTTGCTTTCAAATGAAACTGTACAGTTTCAAGTGGCTTTTTTGAGCAACCAAAGAGAGTTCACCGACCCCTTTTCTGTCTTATGGAACGATAACCGAATATTCATCCCTGTAAATCGTCCAGTTATCGTGGGGGAGGGAAGAGAAGACAACATGTGAGCCGCGGTCCGCCATTATTAGATCTTTGGAAAGCCATTCCCATAAAATAATTTGCCGCAGAGTAGGGTTGTCAAAAGTATCGATACTCGAAAAAGTATCGATACTAAAATGTTGTATCCGGATACGATACTCTTTTTCAAAAGTATCGATACCACCACCGCCCCTTCTCTCTGATTCATTTATGTATTTATTTACGTTGTTTATGATCATTAACAAAACGCTAGCCTTGCTAGCTGCGGCTAATGGCTAATAATAACATGCTACCAATCAAGTACATATCCAACTCCGCCCATATCCAAGTCGGCCATTTTGATTAGGTCACCAATAGGAAGATCCCAGGCGAGAAAATCCTAATTGCTTCATGGCAATATTGTCATTAATTTAAAAATAGTTAAATGAATCTTTCAAACACTTAATTAAACTCTATACATATTATGTTAAAATAGTGTATATTAAATTGGTTTGTACAATAAGTCCAAACAAGTTTAACCAAAAAATATTTATTTCTCACAATTATGAAGGCTGGAGGGTTAGGGTCAGGTTTAGGGTTAGGGTCAGGGTTAGGCTTATTAATGTGGGCCACCAGTAACATCAGTAACAGGTCAGTTTGAAATGAAAGACACAATTCAGTTCAATTTTGGGGTCTTTGTTTTTGTCCTTGTGGTATCGAAAATGGTATTGAGTATCGAGTATTTTCCTGAGTATCGGTATCGAGTTGAACATTTTAGTATCGTGACAACCCTACCGCGGAGTACTGCGCTCAAAGGTCGGGAGCGATTCACCTTCATTAAAACCTCGTTCAGTTTCCATGTGGAAGGGCTCCTTATAGCAGAATGACGGCATTCAATACAGACAACTGAAAATAAATCTGTCTATGAGAGAGACAGACGATCCCCCTAACCCCCCCCATGGTCATGTCTGTGTTCTCTGATGCGGAAATATCAGGAGTGTGGAGAGCCCCCC